AGAGTCTTTTTCTATATTTTATTAAAAAATATATACTTTGTTTTAATAATCAATAAAATAGTATAATTAATAATTTAGTTATTTTTATGTCAACGGCTTTAAATTATAACATATTAAAAATTATAATAAATTCTTTGAAAAATCAAGTATAAATGCGGAGAAATAAACGAATTATCTCTACATCTAAATTTTGCTTTAATAAAATTTAAGTTGAAAGATTTTCGTGTTAAAAGTTATATCTTTTAATGGAAGAGAAGTGATGTTCAAATAAATTTTTATTCAATTCCGAAAGTCAAATAGTCGAGCAAATGGAAGAAATTGCAAATGTCTTATTTCAGTCTTATATATTCATCAACGCCGTACTTTCTCGAACACAAAGATCTAAAAACAATTGAAAAAGCGCTCAAAGGGTTAATTACGGCGAACGGTAGTTCGAGAGACGATATCGAGAAGTGAACGCCAAGACGACGGTCAATATCGGCGTTCTGTGAAAAGTAGCCCAAGAAACGCACGCTTGATCTTTTATTCATGTCACTATCGACCAGGACCTCGTTCTCGTGGCTCGTCCTGTCTTCCCGCGTCCAAGCTGTTACGCCGTTCAGGACGGACGTGTCATTTTGCGCGATAACACTCGTATGTTGCGACATGCGTGACATGTGAAGGGCTGATGCCCCGCAGCCACCCTCGATGCTCCGTCACGTATACGATGAGAGTGCACTCTTCACAGGACATACACGTCTTTCACAAATGCGGAAGAATTGCTCATAAATTCTCGTATCGACGGCAAAGAGAAAGCTATATTCAAGATTTAATAAGCGAATAAAACACATTATCCATTATTTCAATATAAAATAACGATATATTTAGTAAGAGTAGTGGCAACTCAAATCAACTTAAATTTGACACTATATAGATTTAACAGAGTACATTTATTATTAAATCATTACACTGTATATATTTACTAACGAAAAAATCAACCTCATATTTTGAAAGAAACAACGACATATGTCTGATTTAGACTTTTCGTAAGCAAATATAATTCTGGAACAACTCTAAAATATCGATAAAAATATTCGTATAAACAAGATTATTGTACGAAGTTACATTGTATGATAGTTACAAGTTCGAACAGACCACGAGTATGTAATACCGATAAACAATATGGATGGAAGAAAAGAAGATAACGAGCTATTCATCGGCCATTACGTGATCTAAAGCCGAGATATATCGAGAATTAATTCTACGGCCTATTCGTCTCTCTATACGTTTTTGTTCGGACGTGTTTGGAACGCGCATTTATTGTTATTTTTTTCTGTCGGCGCGTGTAATGCATACGCTATGCGAAAAGTATTTTCAGTGCATTACTGATTTGCGTTACAAAGGCAAGTTTTTAATCACGTACAAGCGAGTAAGCGACACGTAAAAAAAAAACGTATGAATTTTGTTCTACAGTGGCAAAACAACAATTCTTGAATTCAGATACGGAAATAATTTGTAACATAATAGTTTTTAACATCAAATACGAAATAAACAATGAGTAACTTTTTATAATAGCAGCAATGGTACTCGGACATATCCTGCTCCATTCAAATACGCGAATATTTTGACACGTTCTTCTGTGAAAATAAATCTTTGTTAAGAATTGTCTTAAATTTCCGTCGAAATAAGAATCATTAGATAAAAGAGTTATAAATATTTCATATTCACACATCAACGTAACAATTATTCTTAACAGTCCTTCATTTTAACTCAATCCCGTGAATATTCAAATTTTATTCACATTAAAGAGATAATAATGTAATTAAAAGCGCCGCGTTCGTACGTATTTCAAAAAGATATCAGAAGCGCAGTCGTCGACAATTAATGACAGAGAGCGCAATGAAAGGGAAAAAGGGGCGATAGAAAGTACGAAGGAGGAACGAGGTGATGAATTACAACGTGTTCGACACGCATACCGAAAGGGTTTTTTAATGAAAGATCGTAATGAAAGGGTCTCGAACGTGCGAACGAGGATTTCCCAAAACTTCGTAATCTCGCTTCCACGCGCAGCTTTTTCCACACCGACGACAATGGGCGTGCGAATGCGTCACTGCCACTCGTTATTCGCGAATTATTTATTCTACGCCCGTCAATATTGAATTTGCCCCTATTATTGAAACATCCCGCCGATAATTCGCTTCAACGCACGCGCCGCTCGTAATCGCCGAATCCGCTTAATTTCATCAGAATTGGCAAATCGAAATACGGCCGGAAATCTCGCATCTCCGAAAAACGGCATCAGTAATTATTCCCGCAATTTTTGTAAACGTCTATACTTTCTGTAGACATTTGAAATTCTTAGTATTCTGTAATATTATTTTATTTTGCAAAAGTTAAATCTAATAATACAAGGTTTAAAAATAAATCGTATAAAGAATAATATAAAAATCTTCAGTTCCGATGTAATAATATAAAGAATAATAAAATAAATAACATAATAGAAAAAATATAATTTATCTTCTTCGTTTTGTATGTTGATTACGATAATTAAACTGTGATTAATTTGACGTTATAATAGCTTTTAATGGACATGTAAAATTTTGCAGGCATTCGAAAGCAAAATATCACATAATATTCATAATATTGTTATTTCGAATAGTGTATGCACATAAACTATAAATATTGATTATCTTTGAGAATGACTACAAAAATGCACTATTTAGCAATTGTTCGAAAAATTACAGCCTATGGTCATATTTTCCGTATGGCTATAATACATATATTTACCTTTTATATTAATTAATATATTAAACAAACTTTATAAAAAAAATTATTTATAATTATTGCATCAGCAAATAAAAAATACACAGGCACATTTTATAATATTTATGAATAGTAATTTCATAATAAATGATAATTCATTTACATTTAACTATATATATAGATGTAATTCACATTCTCTATTTTATTATCGCTAAACATAACTAATAATATCTAATTATAAGATAATTAATAAAGATACAAAAAAAAGAGACAAAATAATATAGAGATTCATCCATAATATATTTGTATTCAAATTTGTATCAATTTGTATCAAAATGTATTACAAAATTATAGATACTCGTTATGTTTAACAAATATATTTATTTTTTATTATGTATTGTTTTATTTATAAGAAAACAAGAACGATTTATTATATTAATATAACCAGCTTCGATTAGCGTCAGTAATATGTCTCGAACTCAGTCGCTGTCATCTATAATAAACAGCGCGGCTTACATGATAATCTAATGTATGATGTTCGCCAAATATCTTCAAAGTTGCTTCCAATTCCCCATTTTGGTTTGCTCACCAATTCCCCATCCCTCAATATCAGCCGAAAGTTTCAGCCATTACTTCTAGAATTTGTGCCACAAAATACAAACATTAAACATAAAGTCACTCATCATCGTGCAACGTCAGCCGCATGACAATGGATATGCATTTTCTGCACTGATATAAGATGCGAAAAAGTTGGCGAAGGTGAAGAGATTGCGCTGCAAGAGAAGCAAAAATTGGACATTTCGTACCAAATCCACAATCTTCCCACAAAGATTTCATTCTCTTTGCATGAAAAAGGAAACGGTATTGTTGAATTCAATTTTTAAAATAATTTACAGTTTCCTCTCCTAGTGACAATGAGCGTAAGATAACCGCAACGTAAAGAAGAACTCAAAAGTATTCTCTTACATAAGGTACAATATATAATGCGATATCTTATTGTATAGCACGAATAGCACCTAACGATTCAAGGATTGAATAAAATATCTGCGATAAATATAGATTCGCGATGGAGGGACTTTCTCGTTGATGCATAAGAATATCTTGAGATTCTGCGGAAGATCTATTTCTATCTTGGTGACATTTTCCATAAATAACCGTCAATGTCTATCTTTGAAGTCAACAGAGCGAGACTCACGCAATATATTTCTAGCAAAGCATCGCGCCGGATATTTCAGAAGATCTGTCAAGCAGATACTTCTGTTCCTATTGCTTGCGGGAGCATCGCGAGGTTGAAAATTTAATCGAGTGCCAGCAAAGTAATACATACGGATCTAGGTCGTTTCGGCAAAGGCGGTCGTACACTTTGCCGGCATACGAATAAATAATACAAAATGGTTGCGAACGTCTCTAAAATTTTATTTTGTTTTATTTATTTTATTTTGAATGTAATTCGCAGCTCTATGTTCCTCGTTTGGTAACTAAAAGACGGAATAATATGACTGTAATTCGTTGTAAGGAATACGAGATGCTGTGTTTTATGAATATGATAATCGAATGACCCGGTAAAATCTGGGATGACTTGTAAAACTGCGCGTATAATACAGCGTATTAGAATAAGTAATAATGCATATACGCATAGAACATCATAAATTTTCATTATATATTCCCTGCGCGTTATGTATTCATGTATTTATTTGATATTCATCTGTATCTGCGCTGTAAAAATTACATGTAAAATTATAACAATTATAGTGAGTAATGTTAGAACCCATTATTAAGTGTATATTTATACATACGTAAAATAAAAGCACAACTTACAATTAAAATTTTTTTTTTTTTAATAGTAATTAGATATTTGCTGAAGTAAAAACATACTTAATCCTCTGGAGCAGATTGTAGGTCTATTAAACTTTCGCTTAATTATAAATTTCTTTGTAAAAATGTTAAAAATTTGTTAAACAATTAAATAATTCAATTTTCTTTATTTCAGCAGCTATATAAATTTGCATTATTCTTATTAAAATATATTTAATATTCATTTTTTTTTACATATACGACTTATATTTTTGCTTTTTAATTAATGCCTTTTAATTAACATAAATTAAATCAGCCTCATAGATCCACCGTCAGTAACTGTATTGCAGATTTTTTAATTCCGGAGGATTAATGTATCTTTTATGCACTTGATATAATTTAACTCGGAATATTTAATAAAACGAACAGCAGCAACGAATTGATGAATAAAATTTATATTTTAGGTAACGTGGATAAGGAGAAAAGACAGACAACTGCTTACAGTGGGTAGAAGCACACATTCTATAGACACGCGTTTCGTTGTCTCAAACGGTCCTGGCTGGAATCTACTGATTAAAAACGTGAATCACGAAGATGCAGGTCTTTACGAATGTCAGGTAATGCATAATGTTCACGAAAAAATGTACTAACCCGAAAAGATTTTCTTATAAAATGTAAATGTATCTTGTTGTCACTTATTTTGAAAGAAAACTCCAGAAAGTTTAGACAACAGTTAATCTCATATTCTATGGTAAAATTAGGACGGTCATGATGGTTATTAAAAGTTTTTAATATTAATTAGATACGATCGTATTAATATTAAAAACTTTTAATAACTATCATGACCATCTTAATTTTACCATGGAATATGAGATTAACCGTTATCTAAATTTTCTGTACCTTTCTCTTAAAATAATTGACAAAATATATTTAGACTAAATTAATTGATTCTTTGTAATATCTTAAAAAAACAATTATCTTCCGCTTGAAGATCCTAAGTTTAGAAAAAAAGTTAGAAAAAAATAAAAAATAAAAAAAATATCTGTTCACAATTAATATTAAACACAATCATCAAAATAAAAATTTATAATTTCATACTAATTGTAAGTAAAGTTTTAAATACAACAAGCATCCTTTTTCCTATGAAGATATCTAAGATTCTGAAATAAAAAATCAAGCGAGTTATTTCAATAAATATTGCTATCGACTGTTTCTTAACAAACACAGTTTTTCTTTACAAGAGTTTTTCTGCCATAAAAAATAACAAGTGAGACAATCATTGGATTTACATTCCGCCGATCTTTCCTAAACCGCGTGCATCAAATGGTTGGTGTTTACCAGCTCAATCAGTAGTGAAAACCAATCGCGGTCAGACAGTGGTAATATATCTGATGTGTCAAACCATTCTATCAAATAATAACAGAATTTCCTTGGTACCTGTTGAGCATGTCTCTTAGCGATTTGTATACTTAACTCAGTTATATTCTAATATAATTATATCTGAAATACCGCTGGAAATATTCATTCTCTATGTATTATTTTGTTTGTTCTTGTGCCTTCTATATATGGGAACATCGCGACATATATCGTTTAAAAGTAACACTACTAAAAAAACGCGATCTTTTAATTATTAAATAAGTTATATAAATATATAACTCATTTAATAATGAGTTATATATTTATATAACTCATTTAATAATTATATAAATTATATAAATAAATGAGTTATATAAATATTATTCTGACAAGCATAAAAAATAAACTTAATTTCATTTTAAAAATCACCACAACTCAAGAAGGATGGTTTTTTTAAGGATTGTGAAATGAAAATGACATTTGCTCATGCTAAGAATATATTCTTTTTGTCGATATTGCTTGATAATTTTCTATCAAGTTGAAAAATAATTTTTCTCCTTTTCTGAGAAACTTAATTTTTTGAATTGTACATCACTTTTAAAGTAAGGAATTGATATATTAGGTGTTGGAATTAATTCGTAGCGTTTTACAAGAGATGGGAAGTACTTTCATTAATGTATTTTTTAATGCTCATGTGAAATAAATAACATTCTTTCATTAAAAACGCTACGAATTAATTCCAACACCTAATAATAGAACATTGATATAATAGACTTGAAGAACAATATGTATTTTATAAATCATAGATATTTTATAAATCATAGATTTCGTTTCGCGATGTTCTAATAAAATAGATTCAGACGGAACCAATGCAACAGCGATTCATACGATTGAATATCACGGAAGCGTACTCGGTAATACCGGGTGGACCGGATCTCCACGTGAAGCAAGGTTCCAGCCTGCGTTTGGAGTGCCAGTTGATGGCAGCCGCAGAATCGCCCAACTACGTGTTTTGGTATCGCGAGACGCGCATGATAAACTACGACAACGAGCCCGGCGTTCGATTCGAGCTTAAGGGAAACGGCTCCGTATTCATCGTGGAGAAGGTGAAGCTCTCGCATGGTGCGAATTACACATGTTTGCCGAACAACGCCAGACCGGCTCACATTGTGCTACATGTCATTGAAGGTGAGCAATTGTTCGGCGGGCATCTCGTGGCGACTCATTAATCCCTCAATTCCTGAATGTTTAACCTTCCGGAATTAAGATGGGTCTGTGTTGGACCGATTCAATTAGGTATCTCTTCGGAACTGATAGTGGAACTATCTAACCTATTCAATTATATTCTTTATATTATATCTGCAAATTTAAATTATTATTATTAAAATAAACTTAATATTCATATTTTTTTATAGAAGTTTTGTTTTTGAATATGGCGATTTGCGACACTTTTTAATCACAAATTTATTTATGTTATAAATAAATCTGTAATTAAAAGATGTCGCACAAATTCCCATATTAAAAAGCAAAATCTCTTTTTAAATTGATCGTGTAACCGAATCATAATATTGTAATAATCGAAGATTTAATTAATTTTCGTACTCTGAGCATATTTGAAAATAATCATGAAAACATTGTAGATGACTTATAATTAAAGTTGAAGCGTTTGTACGATTAATAATTGTTATATAAACGTTAATTAGCATTTAGATCCTGTTCAGCTTTTATACTTCTATTTATTTTTCATTTTAAACTTACTTGTTATTTAATAAATTTTGCTTGTTTTTAGTTTAATATACTTTTCATTTAATGTACTGCAGTTCGGAAACCTGTAATTTACTCAATGTTTATACAACATATTCTCAACAGAGAACAATCGGTGGAAAATTCAAACATCAACTACCAAAGTTTGACCAGATATTTCAAGCATTCTGTACATCCAATTGCATTTCTCTCGCTCGCGTTTGATCCTATCAAAGAATCTCATCTATTTTCGCAGAGGAAGAGAAATCGGCGGCCATGCATGGAGGCGATCGACGAAATTCCACGGCGACTACGTCAACCAACACCATACTGATTCTCGTGGCTCTCCTGATTATTAAAAATGTAAGACGATATTTCCAGATTCTCATCTGCCACGCTACGTGACTATTGTAAACCGATATTTTTGCAAAGTCAAAGCTCGTTGGAAGAAGTTGAAACACTTTGAATTTTTTTTCTTTTCTAGACTCGATTCTAGACATCTTGTCGAACTCATGTATCGAAAAATCACATTACCTTTAGTTCATCTCACGAGCTGAAACTCTCTGACGATGAAATCCAAACGTTCGTAAAAGAAGATGTGACAGATTCCGCGTGGGATCAAAGAAAAACCTATTTGCGAGTAAACTTAAAGCGAGAGATTCAACTGTAGACAGTTTTCCGAGAATCTCTGTATCCCCAGTGGCAAAATCTAAGGAGAACTACAAAGTTTCACGTAATCATGTAACTTTCGTTTAAAGAAACGTCTTATCCAAGTGACACTACTTGATAGAAACTCTGCTTCAACTCGTAACGAGTGAATAATATTCGTGGAATGAGATTTGGCCACGTCTTTCAACGTGGACGAATTTGCTCGCGAACTTTAAGAACCAAGTTGCTCGTGTCGTTGGTCATCATAAACTTTCGCGTATTGAAACAATTTTTTTTCCGTGAAATCTTATAGTTTCTGCTTACATTAAGATGTCTTTAAAATTTTATTTTATTTTATTTTATTATTATTATTTTTCTAGCAAAGTTGTTTATTTTCTCTGCATTTCAAATATTTAAAAATCTATTCTCATAAGAAATTTTAATATAAAGAAATAACACGAAACAAAAAGCTAATTTTTTAATATTAATGATAAAAATAATGGAATAATTAAAACTACAATATATAGGTATATTGAGGAAATTTTTAAATTCCAACAAAATTTAAAATCTTTTTAGAAAGCTTCACATTTCGTAGAGCATAAGTATATTCGCAAATGTATTACATCTTCGCAAACGAATTTAGCAATGAAATCTCGTCGGGAAGCAGGTAACATTTCATCATGGGAATCAAGTATTATTTGCTCCTTATAAGTTTGGCAAGTTTCTAGCAAGTAGTTTAATGCAAATGAGATATTGAGTTCTGTAAACAAAAGTTGTGTTTAGTAATGTTGGTTCTATGTTAACTTTCACCAATGTTCATAATAATAAACTCTCGCAATTAGCATTGTACATATTACGTGTTGAAAGATAACAAAGTTATCTCATTTACGTTTTGGTTTTTTATAATTTTTAAAAAAAGATCTATCGGCAACGTGAACCAAAATTACATTTAAGATTAGTCTACAAATAAACTGCCAATCCACAGCTCAAATAAATTAGAGATAGAAGAAATCTTTTTATCCGCACGACTTACACGCACACTCTCAAAGTTGACTTTATGCCGATGCTTGTATTTGCTGTATATTAGAAAGTATGTAAGTAAGCACTTCAAGTCATTCCATTTCTTATGTGTGTGCAATGTATATTTATCATTATACAAATTAAATACATAAATATACTGATACTCCCTAATCAGTATTTCAAGAAAACATTATTACAAAAATAAGAATTAAAACTAAATCTTTAAAAATGTTAGTTTATATTATATAATTTTATATGATGTAAAATGTTTTACTTATTAAATGAATTGTCTAATTACATAATAATTGATGGTATGTGTATACATGAAATATAATTAAATTTTAATAATACCATAAACATATTTCGTATCGATACCGATAAGTATAACATATGCATTGTGATGTACTTAAGTAAAAAATCATTTTTCATGACTGTTAATTTTGTATATATTAACTAATAGAAAAAATTCATTATACAAATTAATAAAAATGTATATGTTTAATCAAACATGCCTCATAGAAAATTAAAACCTTTATTATTTTTAACATCTACGATCTTATTTATTGTGAACAGCAGAATATAAGAAGTATAAATAAGATATAATTATTAAAGATTAAAAAAATAATAAAAGTTAATATCAAATACCGAGTATAAACATAAAAAAGACATTTAACAAATTAATAAACTCAAAATCAATTTTAAAAGAATATTTGTATTTTAATAATTTTATGAAAATCCATTTCTTAAAAATTTTTAATTGTTTTTAATTTAAACAAAAAATATATTATAAAAATTGTATAATATTTAATTACATAGTTTTAAATTGATTAAATGTTGAGATTAAATGTTTAATTTATTAAAAAAGTTAACAATAATTAATGAAATTTGATAAAGGATGTGTTTTATCGATCTTTTGAGAGGTAAGTAAACATAATTAATAAACATATTATTTAATATTGATTGTTTAATAAATGTATAATTAGTGTTTATAGGACTACGTTTTGTTTAAAGCTCATTAAGCATGTATAATGATTGAACAGTAATTTGCGAAAGAATCGCAATCGTTCAAACAATCGCTCCAACATTCAAACAAAGTAATCCAACTTAAAATGCTTTCCGTGTAATTTATCGGTGAATTCCGACAAGCATTTATAAGTGAAAGTAAGTTGAAAACTCGTAATTAAATAGAAAATTTTAAGCATCTTGCTCATTTGTCAAATCATAGCTACTTGTAAATCCGAATTACAATGAAATATCTTAAGCAAAGAAAAAACGTTGTCTTAAGAAACAATTTTTTGTCATTCGATACGAAAAACAATTGTGCAAAAAATGAAAAACTTTCTCTAAGAGTTATTTATTATTTTCTAAAAGCTATTAATTTAGAAAACCTTATTTATAACTATATCCAACAATTATATTCAAAATACGTTTAATAAAAGAATCGTATAAAAAACGTATAAATTAAAAAATAAACGTCATAAAAACATTTATAAGACGTTTGTAACGTCTATAACTCTTTAATTTTTTTATACAGCATAAAAAATGTTTCGGCAAAACATTTTTCAAACGTAAATTATTTGCTTAAGTGTAGTTATGTTTGTTTGACTAAATATACTACAATTCATTTCATCGTGTTGTATTAGAATAGAATTTCATGTTTAGAACAACCATTTTAATTACACGTCAACTTACAATAATTATAATATGCAATAATTACATGGCAGAGAACTCGTTAGGTACAGATTTGCCGGCGTTCGATTCGTGCGCCGGATTTCCGGTTAATTTCGCAAATTAAGGGTACATCACGCGTCGATGTAGCGTTAGTGCAATTACGGTCACACGATAATTACAGTTACATTTTCGGATTTAAGCTGCTTCCGCGGTTTCATTAACGCGAGAAGCACTAAGTACGTCGCAAACCGTCACGACTATTTTAATATCGCGATATAATGTCGCTGTTATCTCGAAGTCTGCTTGGCGGAGATTGCAAGACGGGCCATCGCGTGTCAAGCGATACAAACCGGAGACGTCTCATCCTCACCAAGCGGGGAATGTAATAACTCTCTTTGCCTCCAGTGTCCTCGATGTATAATGAAGGTATTGCGCGGAATTGAACGCGTTCTATCATAACACAAAGCGTTTGATAATGATCGATCAACGCGTGAGATGTGATTCCCATGCTACGCTAATAGGTATCTAATATCTAATATATCTGAGGAATACGATACAATAGGGACTGTATATTCAGAGATACATAGAATCATAAAGGGATTCGATCCAATCAATCTTTTCGATCCATTCACGATATTACATGGCAAATAATTAACGATCTCGTTATCTGCGTGACGTACATATGCACGGGAACGATTTTGTATTTAAAAATTTAACTAGACACACAGATCTGAAAATAATTTTGTTGGAATCATTAAAATAATTACGTAGGAATTTCAAGCACGATAAGCAACGCTTATCAAAAAATTTTGACATTCTAACTTGAACGTCCTATATAATTATTTTGATGATTAATTAGATGGTCCAATAAAATTATCTTTAGATTTGTATCTATCTTAATTTTTAAATACTCCAACAAAATAATGTATCAAAGAACAATGCTAATGCGTTTTCTCGCTTATTTCTTTTATGATTAATCCTTGTGAAGAGAAAGTTTGATTGTTTTCGTGATACAGAAATCGTTATCGCAAAAAATATTAATCGTCGACTATTCGATAGCGAATTCGGTTAGACGCACTAATACATATTAAAGCCATGTTTTATCTAATCTGAATGTAACTGCAAATGATAAGATACCCAGTACATATTTTATAATAAAATATATAATAATAAAATATATTGAGGATTTCGCGATTTAATCCATTTCTATATTTATATTAAATACAGATCTTCATATTGATTTGTTCAATGGCTTTAATGTACATTATTATATAGTCATTATTATATAGTCATTCGATAAGTGCTGCGTTTGAGAATTTTCGAAAAATTAAATTCTCTCATTTAAACGATTTATTCTTGGAGCAAACAACTCGCGAACATTTTACTTTTCGAATCCCATTGATAGTAATTTTCTCTTGTACGATACAACTATTTTCTTATTTAAATTAATTGACTTTAATTGTCGTATAGCGTTTGATCGCAGGAATAAAAAAATTAAAATGTAAAAAGACTTTAATTGATATTTCTTTCTCCTGCTCTTTTTTTTCTTCATTTCAGCCAATGCGAATGTGCGTGTATGTACGAATCGATATACTGGACAAAAAATACGTTCTGCGTTAACATTAAAAATTTATCGGACCAGGTAATACATAATTTAAGCACTAAAATATGCGACTTTTTTCCCCAAGAATTTTTACCCTACTTCGTGGTAAAGTATCCATTAGCCATTTATTAGCTAAATGTTGGGGGATATATTAGGCCAATATTTTGCCAATAAACATAGGGTTATCTTAGGATTTCTTGAACTTAATACTTTACATAGCTATGATAATAATTAATCATCATCATGATAACTATGGAAATCAATAACTATCTCTTGTAGTAGTTATAGAAAGCAATTACTTACTTAGGAAATATTACATCACATTTTGCATTTTACTTTACTGACAATACAGAATGAAGAAACTAAGTAATAAACTAATGTAATTGAGTTCAAATGGATAGCTTGCATTATTGCATATTAATGCTATCTATTGTGAATTCATCGTATAATTATCTATCAGCGAGTAGGGCAGATTCGATTATCTTATTAAACTTATAAATAAACTTTGTAGCAATTCTTAAAAAATTTTGATTAATTAACAACTAAGCGATTGTTGCCGAAAAACAAGATGCCTCAAAGTGCTTATACAGCTTCAACGTATCTTTCTTTTTCGAATCATTTAATTTCGTCCTCTATAAAAAAAGTCCATTAAAAGCATTTCACGTAATTGATACCATTAGCCGAACCGTAGACAATTCGATAGATCCAGACAGCTCAGTACAATGCGCGCCATCGTTGTTCAATGGGTAATAGAAACTCGAGTAATTAAATAAATGGTCATGTCACTCACCTTTTTTTTCAGAGTCACTTTCAGTGCTCCGAAATCAGGATGCTATCTGTCATGGCAAATCCATCTAATACGTAACTCCTTTCGTCGTTAGGACGTGCGCTAAACTAAGATTACAATCCAAATACGCTCATCTTAATAAACGTCAAGAAAGAGGAAATGCAGGAAAAGAAGACAAAATCGCGCATCTCATAAAGATGAAAAATCCTTTGCATTTTTAAATTCTACTATTCATTTTAATATATGTAAATATTACA